GACACTGGAACAGGCTGCCCACTAATAGGCAAAAGGAATTTCTGCTATGCAATGCTTACTTCCCCCCCCCCACAATAAATAAGCCCATAATTTTCTGTCACCTCTTTGGGTACATAAAGGGCAAAAAGAAGTCCTCCTCTTGCATCTCTGAATGGCACTATCACAACAGCCCCTGCAATCCTTGGAGTGTAAAGCTTGTTCTTTCCATGAACTCCCAAAGTACATGGGGATCCAGTTGTGAGTGACTGTGTCACAGCCTTAACACAGCCCTCCTCTGTGCATCATGCTTCATTCTCTAATCCTATTTTTCCCATAGGACCTGGATCTTACTGAACACCAGAAGGGAACTGAAGATCAACCAGAACTGTGCAGTGAAGAAAACCTGGTTTTTACAGGAATATTATTTAATTTTAGAAGTTAAAAGGTCTTTAGTGAATGAAGAGATAATACAGAGGGGGGAAGAATGCCTCAGTTAAGTAACTAAAAGTTGCTCTGCAGAACAGGACTTCTTTCTCCAACAAAGCCCAACATAACCCAGGACAAGTAATTTGAGCCAGCAATTAGGCTGGTGAATCCCTGACACTAGGGTACTAACTAGACAACCTAATGATTTAATTTGAAGTTCTGAGCACTCGTAGTGGCCACTGAAATAAATGAGCTTTGAATGAGTAAAGTATTACATAATACTGTTAATCTCAAGAATAGCATCTTAGTTCATGTTGGGCATCCAAAAACTCAATGGATACAGAACAAATCAAAAGGTTTGCCACAGGAGTGTCTGAAACAACACACTGGACCTAGGGCAAGCATGAAGTCTATTCTAAACAAAAATGGGAATGAAAAACACTGAAGAGTTTTGCATCTTACGCTCACCCACTTTAAACACTAGATGAAACAAAATATCTGTGATAAATAGCAGCACATAAAATGGCTATATACTTAAGGGCTGTACTGTAATGTTTGTGGCAAGGAGAAAGAAGTAAAACAGCAGAACTACCTCAATTCTAACTTTTTAATCATTTGACTTTGCAACTTCCACAGTGCTCTTTTTAATGTAATACATGAAAACAAAACTGAAACTATCATCAGGTTTTTTTTTGAGGAATGAAAAATGTGCATATGCACTAGCCAGAGTAATTTTATTTTACACTGATTAGATTAAATTATAAAGCAATGTCTGCAAACACATGCAGATTTTAATGATGGACTGGAATTAAATTTTCTGGTTCTTACAGCAGAAACAATCTTTTTCTCCAATTATGAGCCATTTTAATACAATAAACTGGAAACTGGGATATTTCTAGCCTGGATAAAGAATTCTTTAACCACTGTGGAGAAGGACAAAAATTACCAACCCACGTAGCAAGAAAAAACTTTCAGCTGAAGATATATCACTTCTGTCTACAATTTCATCATCTGTCTCAGAAATCCCTGCACAAAACAGCAGAGTGAGAGGCCCCAGATCTGGAACTAGTAGGATGGCCAGGTGAAACAGAGGCCTGAGTGGTCAGCTGAAGCTTTCTTGAAGTACTTCCACTTTTCTCATTTATTGTATAAGTAAATGGACTTGAGCCAGAGGCTGATTTCATAGAACATCAGGAAACTGATTTGTCTACCACTACCTGCTTTTAAAAGCAAAGTTAAAAACCTTGGGGATGTGTACAGATATGTGTGTGTGTATAATATATATATATATATATATATATATAGTGTAAAAGAATCACAGTCCCATCAAAGCAGTTCCTCTGACAGTCTCCTTCCTTGATGAACAGTTAGAGTAGACAAAGCAGAAACACTCCAGTGCAACAGAAGACAGTAAAAGCAAGCTCCCAAATAATGCATCTTCACAGTATAGGTTTTCAAGTCACTGGACTGTCTATGATGATGGAGGATTAAGATTTGAGACACTGCTCTGGCCTTCTCAGTCAAAGCAGCCATTTTGGGACTTTTGCAGTTGTAACAGGCTCCCTGTACCCATCCGTTCTTGGATTACACTTTAAGTACTGTAATGATTCATCCTTATACCTCCTGAAGATGCTGAAGAAAGAGCAACTAAATGATGAACGCATTAGCCCACACATTCTGGCCTTCACCTGGAATTATACAGCCTAGAGGAAGGAAGAGTGCTAGCTAGGAAGAATAAAATAAATCACTGGCTGAAATAGGCATGAAAAAGGAGGTGCTCCTTTGTATTTGGTAGGATGATTTTGGTAGTATTAATCCTATGTTAGTGCAAAATGTGCTGAGTGGAGTAAGCAATCTACTGGTGGTGTCCTTTCTCAGCCTGGTTTTCTATGATGTATTCTTGTGCATATTCTTATACATTGGTAGGTTTTTGTAAAGCAGTCTGGAAATGCAGACAGTATAGATTTTGGGATGGTATAGATCTTACACAGAGATCCCTGCAGTAGGTTCACAGAAATTCCTTTTGTTATTTTGAAATTTGGCTTCAGTCTGAATTGGACTACAAGATACATGAAATCTCTTCCAGCCTTACATTTCCATGAATAAGCTCAAAAAGGTCCTCCCGTCTTCACAGAAAAGGTAGAAGGACATAATCGCTCTCCAGATGGCCGTTTCTAGCATCTTGCATTGAAGGAAGGTTATTTGAAAGAGGAGTTCTCACACAGGCATTTCTCCCTACTTTTCTCATCAGAAAAAATAAAATATGGCTAAAATCTCTCTCTTAGTATTAAGTAAAAACTGAAAGGAGAGGTGATTCAAGTAGTACATTCTATATCGCACCATTAAAACAGACACACTCACAGCTAGCCCAGCAATTCTTAATTTTCCATCATATTGTCATGATTTTTTAAAAATTAAACCAAAAAAGTGATGCTGTCTGAGATGTAAATTGGAAATTAACATTAGTCAGAGATGTCCTCAGCTCATTTGAAAGGTGAGAATAGGTTAACTGAATCAACCAATTTGTTGGTTTGAAAGTAACTGAACAAGGAGCTTAGTCTTTTAGAAAAATATTATTTGTTAAATAGAAGAGAGAGACACATCTATATTCTACCAGCAAATATTTAAAAAGCAGCAGCACTAACCTTGTACTATATAGGGAGTGTTCTCCTCTCTGACTGGTGAAGACATGGGACGAGGGGCAGGAGCTGGTGGCCTGTTCATGATAAAAGATCTGCATTCTTTCCTCTTCTCCTCCTCATTCTCAGTCAGTATGAATTCATACACACATTCATCCAATTTTGCAAAAGCGTATGGGTGTTCCTCCTCACCATCTCCCTTGCATGTATCTTGGTCTTCTCTGCAGCATGCTGTTATGAGTCCGTCACCATGTTCTCTTTCACTTCTGTCCTCCATAAAATTCCTCTCTGAAAAAGCGAGGAATTCTGTTCCATATTTAGGGTAAAGAAAGGAGATGAAGACTTAACTTAAAGCTTTATAGTTTCCTAAAGTAACTCAGAGACCTAATTTCACTTCTAAACTAAAGTGCTCTGATTTTCAAATGCTTCTGATCATCTAAGTCACAAGAGAGGATGTCCCAAAGGAATAATTCCAACTTCAGGGACTCCTTATGATTTCACATCAGATTATCAAAAATAGATGCTTAGCTATTAGCCCCAAAATAAATGGGCTTATTTAAAAGAAATACTGAGTGCCCCACTTGCTCCCACAAGAGTCAAACAAACATGTTCTTTAATGGCAAAGCCAAGTAAGTAGTACCTGTGGCCCTTGGCATTTTTGAAATTCAGGCTATTTGTTAGCTGTTGCAACAATGACTTAAGAGCCAAAACTCATTTTAGAAAATGCTGGGTTTTGTTTTTCCTGCATTTCAATGTCCCACTTGGTTTTCAGGGCTTTACTAAGATGTACTGTAGGATAAGATGCAAAAAAATTAAAAAGCATAGATTAAATTTATGGACCTCTTATAATCTATGCTAAGACTATCCAAAGCCCCCCACTCCAATAACTTCCCTGTTATTATTCCGATATCTCTACTCTATATATTTAATATATTTCATAGTATAACTACTCAGAACTTGCTTTCCTTTAGCTTTTACATTTTACAGCATTAAAAGGAATTGATGATGTTCCCAATACCTAGGTTTGTTTTGATTTGATTTGTCTTTAAAAGCCCCACAAACTGCTAAGAGTTAGAAGCTGTTACTGAGGCTGGTGTTCCTATAAATTTTTATAACTCCCTTGTGCTGATTACCCATCTTTCTTGCAAAAACAGCAGACCTGCCTGGAATTCTTGTACTGAGTCATGTTTTCTTCCTGTTGTAATCTACTGCCTGTACATATGTATCTGCTAAACTAGGCTGTGGTCACTACGGGTATTTTCAATGCTTTGGTTGCTATTTAAAGAACTGTTTTATCTGTTTATGGGTTCAGAGGAGCTAAACAATCTTTGTAAGTGGGATACATTTACAAATGGGATATGTCATTTATAAATGGGATACATTATTAATATGTACTATCAACATGCATTCTGGATAAGATATAAAAATGTTTTAAAACAACACGTGGCATTAATACACCTGCCATATTTAATATGAAAAATATTTTGTTTCCATGACACTATAAAAGTTCTGTTTCTTTCTCTGTAGGATGTTCTTTCTGTTAACTCCCACAGGGGGCACTGTCATGCCACTGCCAAACCAGACACGGCAAGAAGAGGGGACCTGCCTTTTAGGTATTCCACAGCAATACCTACAGCAAGTGGCTGACTGAAAATACGTAGCAATGACTCCTGAGAACTCCTCTTTGAAAGCAAGCATCATCCTCATTTAGAGGAATTCCGATACTCTCCACCCCATTCCCCAATGATGAAACCAAGGTTAACACTTCAGGAAATTCATAGCATGTTTTAGATGAACTATTCACACAAAAGCGTTTTCAGAGGAACTCTGCCTTTCCAGCTCAGAACACTATGTAGTGGAGAAACCTTCTCTGCTGGTACCCACATACAGACAACTGACATTTGGCAGAGAGGGTCACATTACTGCTTGATGGTATAGCCACATAAGAGCTATTGCAAGACAGGCATTTATATCAAACCTACACTAACAAATCCTGTATTTCTGTAATTAGAAATTTGGCTAAAATTTACATTTGGCTAAAATTTACATTTGGCTAAAATGTAATCAAATACTATGTTACTTCTCTCCACACAGTCACTTTCTGTTAATTCTACCTGTGAAATTCCAAGCTGTATTAAATCTAAACAGTATTTAATATTTTTAAATGGTAAATACTTAAGTCAACTTCACAAAAAATACAAGCTCAATCTTTTGTTTCAAGCCTCTCTTGTAAATCCAATGCATCATGCATTTATTTGGCAGCTTTCTGAGATGGGCAGGTGAGGAAAATCAGAAACCTGAACCCAGCAGCCCATACCACAGTATTAGCTGGCATACTTGGTCATGAATATCTAGATGCAGCAAAGTTCATATGCACATGCTTGCTTTGCAGAATCAGGGCCATACTGCCTAGCTACTGCTGTTAGAAGTGATCATACATCATCTCTACAGGAGCACCTAGTCTGCACTTGCAAATGTTTGTATCTGGGGTTATTTTCCTCCCCAGATCATACCTTCAGATAAACTGTGCAGATCGTCCTGTCTTAGGACGCCAGGCAGATTTCGAGGGGGAGGAGGTGGTGGCCTCTTACAGAGAAAGCAGTCTCTTCTGTTCTCTTCAAGATCTTCAGGTATGCTGGCATACAAATTGTCAGGACTGTTGTCGAAGCTGCTTGAAGCTTCCTCTTCATGATCTTCATGTTCTGTCTCCTCTCTGCTGCCTTCTACATCATTCTTTTCCTCATCCACCTCAGTCTCTTGTTGGCATCTTGATCCAATTCCATATTGATCTCCTGGGTTCTGCTTGGCTTCTGATGCTAAAGAATGCATTATTTAATTTAAAATTTGCCATCTGGAAACATTTCATGTTTCAAGGATTCCCACAGAAGCAACACAATGGCTAATAAAACTTTTATGAACTCATACAGTAGGAAATCTGTCAAATACACACTGTCAGTGAACAGCTTTGTAAATATTTACCAAATCTATAGTGGAAGTTTTTATTATATCTTGCTACTCTGACACACACCATCTTTCTGCGCGCAACGTTAAACTTTTCTAGAGTTGCTGTCAGAATGAAATCACACACACCTTGCCTCTGTAATTTGTATTACTCGACTTTCAGTGCAGCACAGTGCAACACTTAGTAAAATATAGCCATAGCTCACACAGCTGTGTAACTTGTTTTTACACAGTGACATTTGGGTGCTTATTTAAATCCCTCTAGAATTAAATAAACATTGCCACTGGGAGACATGGCTGTACTCCTGTGGAAATGGAGCTCTTCTGTCTTTAGTGGCCCATGGACCACAGGACAAGAATACAGTGGAGGGATGTGAAAGCATACATTTTAATCACTATGTACAGCATCAAGATTTGGGTAGTCAACCTCAGTAACATAACAGAGTAAAGCATACAAGTCTGTCAGCAGACTTACAGTCACTGCAGAGCGGGTAATACTGAGCCCTTGAGGTAGGTTTCCATTCTGAGTTATCCTTTGGTGATGCCTTTCTTTCACCACTGGTTCAAATGGGAGGTTAGAGCATTTAGCTGGCTAACATGGCCAGCTGTTATAATCCGTGTTCTTCTGCCATGTGTCTACCCTCAGGTGTTCCCATATACAGTGTGACAGACAGTGAAAATGTAGCAGGGCTAACCAGGTTTCTAGCTCACATTTTCACAGTGTGTATCATCTACCTAGATGTACTAAACCAACTGGTTTTAACTTAGCAAATAAGAAACATCCTTGTCATATAGAATATGGGACAGTTGAAAAGATAAAATTGTCCACAAACAGAAAAGACAGAAACAGGATAAAGCTTCACTTTATGGATCAGTGACACTGTTAAGCGTATGCAAAATATATGCCATCAGTAAATGCAAACAAGCAACTTTGCAGTTTTCAAGGGGAATGCATATGGCCACACAGATTATCAACAAGCTTGTCATCAATCTATGCTTACATGTATGAACATCAAGCTGCAAAATGTCTACTATCTGTGCCTCCACACAGGTGCTGGCTGCACCTGTAGGCAGTGCCTGCCCTTATATGAAGGTTCTTCTCTGAGAACCTGGAGAATTCAGCTGTTTTCTAGATTCAGGCCAGAGATCACAAATTTCCACAATTTACCAGGAGGGGTGGTTGTACTGAGGTCTGTCTTACTGAGCGATGACTTTGTTATTATAACTCAATCCTTCACCTGCCTTCCCCCCTTCTCCTGGAACATCTGCCCTCCCTGGAAGTTGCAATATGTGGAAAATGAAAGTATTAGAATAATTTGACCCCTCTGTTTGCCCATAATCACACTCAATACAGCACATGCTTTGTCACCGATAACGCTGCCTAACAACATGACTTACTCACGGCTGGTTGAGTTTCTGAGCCCAACATAAGCACATACGTGTCATCATCTTCAGCTTCCTCTTTGCAACTGGTGAAATTATCTGCTGTATTAATCTAGAAAATAAAATAAAGGAGAACATTTACTTTGGTAACATACTCCCAAGCAAGGCTGCTCAGTGTTAGTGAGGAAACCATTAGCCTGAGGAGAAATAGCAACATTTTCTTCTTTTGGTTCTATCCAAAACTTAGGTGTATTTTGCAGAGATTGCAGCAGAGATTTCTCTCCTACCTCCTACCTTCACACTCTGCTATCAGTGTAATATTCAACATTCTGCTAAGGGGAAAGTGGAGACAGAAACATCATGCACTGTGTAGTGGTGTATGTACTATAGGCAAAAAGAATGCGAGTATCTGAGTACATATAAAGGACACAAAGTTCTGCCATGAAGCAATATCCAAGTTTGCACAGCAAGGACTGAAGCTAATTGATCTTTCCTTAGCACTGTACTGGGCTGTTCAGACAGCTCCCAACTCTGCTCCCAACTGTGAAGCACTCATAGGTAACGAGAAAGATCAGTAACAGAAAAACAGAAAGTCTCTAGGACATTACGGAATAGCTCAAGGGTGCAGAGAGTGCAAGAAATCTTTGGAGAGCTCATTACAAACAGTTCCCGTATATCCTAGTGGTTGGTACCAAAAGCTGCATGTGCACTGAGAAACCAGAAATGGGACTGCAAAGCATGTTAGCAGTTCTACCTCAGGGCCCAAATGTGGCAAAGCATTGTCTCTTCTTCCTCTAGAGAGCTGTTACGTTCACACAGCGCTCGCTATTCAAAATTAGCCTCAGGAGGGCCAGAACAATCGGTTCTCTAAAACGTTATCAATGTATTTCTTCAAGCAGAAGAGGTACAAACTTCTGCTCTCCCACAGACATTAAGAACAAACTTGTAACACAACTACAGACAGTTCTGTTGTCTTACAATATACAACAAACACTTGTTAATTGCTGATTTTCAGGAATGACTGGAATTTCAAAAGGTGACAGTTTTTTCCAAGGAATCCAGCAGGACCTTGATTCCCATGTAAGTGTAATATGAAACTGTCCTGCAAAGGCACAATGGAGCCCTCAACAATTATTCAGGAATTCTGAATCACAGAATGTTAACTCTGGGGGTTTGAATACACCAACCCCAAAGCAGGTAGGGAAACAGCATGGTCCATATATCACCCAGCCTGCAAGATAATTACAAGCAGATTAGAGGACAGTGGAGTCAAAAGGAAGAACTGATGAACATTTATACCATTCTGCACGGCACAGAAACTGATTCCCATACACTCGTGCCAGATTCTCCAGAACTTTGATTCTAGTATCCTGCTGCCTCCTGGCATCCACAGCTACTGTCTCAGGGACAGAGCTCTCAGGTCTTAAATTAATATCACTGTGTGAAAGGGGAAAAAAAAATGGAGAAATGGTGTTTTTTTTCTGGGGAACTGAGAATGCCTTCTTCCCTGCTGCTCTTGTACACAGCCATCTCATGAATGGCAGTCTTAAAACAGTGCAGCCATCTGGCTGTGCATTAGGTGCCTCCCTGGCCTGCTTTGCTTTGCTGCTTTGAGAATACGCCTGGATCTCCACAAAGCTATACCTGCCTCCAGCAATAAAGTATTAATCTCCATCTTCTATACCCATAAAATGCGCACATCTGCGAGGGAATCCTCTGTTTTGTTGAACTTCCCCGTTGTTTATCTGGTTCCCCTATTCTTCACAGAAACGGGGTACTTCTTAAAAGCCCTTAAGTTAGAACTTTTCAGAATATTTATTTTCAAAAGATTTAGGCCTGCATGTACTAAATGTAACTGTACAGTGGGGAAAAATGGCCTTCTGACAAGTTCTGTATTTCTCCTGTGAACAGAGGATGTGTGCAAAAGAAATCAAGCAAGCAGAGTTCTAGATGTATTAAGCTCTCCAGCTATTACAGTGGAGTACCACACCAGAGAAATTCTTTCAAAGGATTCACTTTTATCTTTGCAAACATGAAGTATGCATGGATATATAGTTGGTAGAATGAGGTCAAAAGGCTAAGTAGAGGAAACAAATGGCACTTTCTGATTTTTTTGTTTGGCATAGCTATTTCTCAGCTGAGGGAAACCTGGTGACTCACAGGAAACCAATAGAATAGATACGATTAATATGCATCTTTGGAACCTGAATGTTTCAGAAGACTGAAGGTCAGCCTGCCTTACTAGATTATGGTGACTCCTCTGATAATGCTGAATCTTTGAGAATTCAGGGTGAAGTTCAGAAGTTTAGCCCCTGACCACCACTTCCTAAAAGTCTCCTGGACCTGGGAGACACAGAAAAGCTGAATAGATGAAAACAGTCTTCGACTAAATATGTTTACACTAGAAGAAGATTCTGTCTAATACATAAATTATTGATAAAAGCCTCCTGTGACACTGGGCACGATGACACCGTGCAGCATCTCCAAAGGAAGTGGAGAGTGACCTTATTTGAGAATGCGAAGCAACATAACAAATCACAATAATGCCATGGCTCAGCTTGCAAACCTTGCCATGATGCCCTGAATGAATGCCCATTACTTTTAGGTTTGGAGTATCTTTTCTATGGGCTGGGTCATGTAATTTAAATGTAATAGCATAGCCAGCATGTTGTTTCTACAGTAGAATTTAGGGTATGGTGTATAAAGACCTGAACTTTAAAGTCTTTTGAGTTGATTTGGCTGAAAATGGCTCTTTGATTTACACAGAGATTTCTTATGGATGTCAAGACACCTTCCAAAGGACAAACTAGCTTTATTGGAAACCCCTATTACGAAAAAAAATGTATTAAAAAGTTTGTTGTTGTCAGCATAGAACTGCTCACAACAGACTACTGAAAAGGGCTCTGAAGGTTTGAAACTCTAGTTTGCGAGTTAGCAAGTAAAATTTCCCTACCTCAAGATGTAACAGGAATGTTGGAATGAACTGAAAGTCCTCTGAGAGACTGATGATGTTTCAAGTCCTAAGATTAAATGCTACCTCTCAACATCAAAAGGTGGATACTTAATTTTCTTTCAGTTATGTTTTTTAACTGTCTTGATTAAGCTTCATGTCAAACCTAAAGACTTTCAAAAAGGCCAAGTTTTTGAATAGCTTCAAAGCTGTCCCTCTTATACAA